TTTTATGTATTGGCGAAAATGCTGATAGTGTGGGTGACCTTGAGACAACAACATTCGTCTCTAGAAAATATAGCCTTAAAAATCAAAATTTGAGTCGCATATTAAATCTAAATAGAACCTTTAGAGAATCTGAATTTCAACCAGAGTGATAGCGGTTATAATTACCAGGCTATGACTATGGTGCCGAATGTGCCCCTTCAAATGCCGAAGTTACACGGGTAGGGGCATATTCGGCGAATTGGACTTTTTTACAAAACTATAAAAATGTTTAACTAATACTAATTTAGTATATGTTTTTGGTACTAGTTTTTAAAATAAGGTTTCAGAGGATAATAATCACCCACAAAGTTTTTATATCTTTTGAATAAGTACTGAGATATAGAGCTCTAAACAAAAAGTGCCGAAAGTGCCCCAGTCTCCCCTACATTTCTTTGGTATGAGATGGGACCAAACAAGGATAACCTTGTTGTTTAAAAGGCCCTCGGATCGTGTCACAAACTAACATTAATAGCACTGCAATCTTTTCGCAAACTCAAACAAATAATTTCATATGCAACAAGGATAATGGCTTTACCCTCAACATTGTTCTCGTTCTTCGTGTCCTTTGAATCGCCCTGTAAGTCAAAATGGAGAAAGACACAAGCATTGGCTTTGCTTGTGTCGGAATTAGTTGTTAGTTCCATATAAGAGGAAACATTTTATGATGTCGTTCGTCCTTCCTCCTTCGTTGCCTGTTTGTTGTTGTGCATTAGAAGTATGGCATATAGGAATGAGACGAAGACATATTGTTAAGCCGATAGCATTCGTGCCATACACTATATTTCTCTATGTGGTGAATGAAAGTAAAACGATTCAATACTACAAGACATCCCAACAAAATGTTTCACACTTTGCACTGCATCGTCAATGTCAATCTTAAATCATGTTGAAGGTTCGTACGGAAGGACACATCTCATCGATGTGATGACAAAACTGCCATGAATTGGAGTATATTGTCCTGTTCCTGAACCCACAAGAATGTACAAATATTTACTACTATAACAGTTACAGTTCTGAAACAGAACAATTTTAATGACCAATTATACCCTAATCGAAAGTTTGGCCATCAGATCAAAAGGTGATGAGGTAACGTCATGTATCGTCAATTGGAGTATATTGTCCTGTTCCTGAACCCACAAGAATGTACAAATATTTACTACTATAACAGTTGCAGTTCTGGAACAGAACAATTTTAATGACCAATTTTACCCTAATCGAAATTTTGGCCATCAGATCAAAAGGTGATGAGGTAACGTCATGTATCGACAATTTAGTAGTTTCTGCAAAAGGAAAAAGAAAACTAGGAATAAAGCAGGGATTACTTAAGGAAATAGATCAAGCTGGGTCATAGAAACAGGTTTCGCTACCTGACGTCTTCCAAGTATTCAAGAGCTTTGGAAAAAGTCAACTAAAACGTTAATATGGATTTTCTGCTTCAAATATTGATCTTTAACGCCATCTGGGTTAAAGTTTGATAGTTTGATGATAGTAAATGTTACACACTCTTCGTAAAAAGATTTCAGAATTTCATTTAGCAGCGAATATTACAGGCACTTTGTACACATTGTGTGTCGTGTGAAATGCCCATATAACACAGAAAAAATAGTTCACGTGGACATAGGTTTCACTTATTAAGCGTACCTAACGAAAAATTAAGATTTTGTAAAGTTTATATTATATTTAATAAATTAAAGAAAGATGTAATGTAATTTTAGAAAAAGTAAACCGATGATATCAAATACATTAGAATCTAGATATAACGATTATCGTTAAATTGAAAATATTGTTACATTGAATACCTTTTTTTCCTTACTGAAAACTGCATAACTAATATAACTACTAATACTAATATAAATGAAGATGAAATCGTTGAAAACGATTCTGAATAGAATGATCGGAAAGAAAATTATTGGGAGAAAATTCCGTCTAAAAATGAGGTCATCAGTGCAATGCCACACAATACTTTTCTTCTTTAATCGAAAATATGTGTACAGACAGACTGACGGACAAGAAAGTGGTTCTGTACAGTTTTTATTGGCACCGATTGTGAATATAAGCGGGATTTTATAAACGAATCCCCGCGTACGTGCTTATATCCGGGAAATATTGTAATATGAAAAAAGCTATAAAATTTGACTTTCACATCTTCCAAACCAGAAATTTCTAAGAGTACTAGAACAGCAAAAGCTATCTTTGCTGGGTATATTTTGTCGTACCTAGAGATGTTCCACCAGAAACAGTGACGAAACGTCGGAAACCCACGCAAAACCATTAGTTTTTTTGACAAAATAGCTATCTGCATTAATCTATGTGGAAATTGCGTATGCCTTACTCAAATCCATATCACATTTCAAAATTTTCTTCTCAAAAAAGTTTAGAATTTGTATAAGTTCTAGAAAGAAATGGTCAGATATACATATGTAATAATAATATATTCTTAAAAACTCTATATTGTATTCAAATAAAAAAAACTCTATATTGTATTCATATAAATAATTAGTACTTACTACATTTTATACAGATATATGCCTTTTTCGACTTTTACACCTTTTTGACAGTGATTAAGGATGTTAAGGGTCAAATAAATGATATTTACTACATTTATTACATTTTATACAGGTATATGACGTTTTCGACTTTAACACCTTTTTGATAGTCGAAAACCTAAAAATACGTCACACGGGCCATCCTTGGTCGTACCCACACGTTAGTTATTAGACGTGTGTGTATGTGCGAGTTAAGGGAGGGGGTAAATAATTTGTTAATGTTAAAATGTCAAGGATTTTCTACCCATTGCCCGCTAACCCCGATTTACCTACACCTACATTATTGTTTCCGACATACACACATGGTCGAAATAATAAGTACAAACTTTTGTATGCACGGGTTTCGTTCAATTCAAGAAATGCTTACATTGTGAAACTGTTTAAATTTATCTTCTGCAACATAAATTCTCATTGTAGAACTGTCGAACTAGTTCTCCCTTTTCGTTCTCTCTATTACTGGTCTTTGGAATAAACGGAAAACATGCTGTAATATTTACTAACAATCGTTACCAAATATCGAGTAAATAGACACTGCTATATATATATAACTTATGCGGCAGTCGTTACTGAAAAATAAAACTTATTTTTATTTCATTGTTCCATAAGATATTACGGTTGTTTTTTATGCACGTGGAATACCGGACCAACCCAAATGGCTGTTATTGAAGAAGTCAACCATCAAAAACTTTATTATTCCGAAGAAGTAGATATATGTTCCTCCAGTCAGTTCGGGAGGATTTAACATTCACAATATCAACAGACATTACCCGATTTGAATTTAATGGATCTCTTCACCGAGGACAACAATGGGACAATCGATTGTTTTTGTTATCTTTTTAAACCGGCAGTGGTTTTCTTCAGATTTGTTTTGCTGGGTCTCAATGCGTTTTGGACAAAATCCACGGCCCTTTCCAAGGATTTGGCAACTGTCGCTTCTTTCCCATCATTCCTTACTTTCGTGCTTATTTCGACTCATAAATCAGTATTTGTATTGTTTAATAATGTTAACTCAGTTATTTTACTTGCCAATCTTTAAACCACGTACTCCATAATAAAAAATCCCAAATGTACTTATTTTTTAGGCAGCCAAATTTTTGATTTTTTTTTTTGGCTTTTTTGTGTTACGAGAATTATTACAAATAGGAGTTTCAAAATGTAACGCAGTTTACACGTTTCTTGAGAAAAAATTGATGGTGAGGCACAACATCAAACATAAACTAAGTTGTACCTATTATTTTGGCCATGTGTGTACATAGTATTTGTTTCTGCTTTCCCAAGTTGGCATTGTTTTCTTTCCGCTTAAGAGCAATGGCAACAGTAACACCATCAACAACCAGCACATATGTCAACTAATTATAGCGTTATTATAAATTATGTTTTGGTCTAGGGAAAATATCTGCAAAAGAGGAAACGGGGATGGTACGAGCCACAGTGTAATGATTAAAGTGGGCGCAAGAGGTCATTGCAAAGTGGACATTGTTATTGCCGCAATCAACTGGGCTGAGCAAATGTGCCTGGAAATGCCTAAAATGGCGAGATTGCGCGTGACCCTTTAATGCCAATTTAGAAATAGGCGTCCATTTGGGAGACAACGATGTGATCCAAACTTTACCTCTCCCATTAAGAATGGACTTTTTTAACATTTATAAATCTGAAGCGAATAAAGTATCCTATTTGTGCAGTGTCATGCTGTGGCAGACATGAATAAGATAAGATCGGAAAGAAAATTATTGGGAGAAAATTCCCTCTAAAAATGAGGTCATCAGTGCAATGCCACACAATACTTTTCTTCTTTAATCGAAAATATGTGTAAGACAGACTGACGGACAAGAAAGTGGTTCTGTACAGTTTTTCAAATGTAAATATCGACTTATCCTGCTCAGTTTTGCATTTTACAAACATATGCACAAATACAGACATGAATAAGATATGATTTGTCCTTCAGTGTACACGAAGTACTTGCTAACGTACCGAAGCGTGTTTGGGCTTTTTAAAATCAACGAACCGCTTTGAATTTCTTCACAGCTGCATTTAATTTTAATGCTTCAGCAGCATTTACTGCTTAAATACTCATAACAAAATACATTTTCTCTTTCTTTCTCTTTACGTCAGTAGTTTTTAATGATGAATTCTCAGTTACGCTCGCACACACTTGCTCTCAATTTAATTTTGCCCAACACTGATTTAAGGTAACAGCAAGTATTGTTGTACAAAAAACGTTACAACAACCATATAGAAGTTTATTGTTGTAAACAAACAAAGAAAAGTTATTTATTTTAAAAATATCCTTTTTCGAATCCTCAAATAAGATTGAAAAACATGAATGAATGTCTATCACTTGACCGTTAGTAAATAAATAAATGAACATAAATGTAGCTACATATTGGGTGGATGACGTGCCACATCCGTACTCACTGTCCGAACTCAACAGATTGTACATTGTCATCAGATGCGAAAGAGTTCTCCAATATCATTAAAAAGTTAATGTGACGCTTTCTGTCCGACCTTATATGGAACAGATTGTACATTGTCATCAGATGCGAAAGAGTTCTTCGTAATATGCCTTGAAGAGAACTTTTTGAATACCATCAACATCAACGGCCCCTGACAAACACAAACCTTTCCGAATGTGTTCAAAAGATATACTCTCAGGTGGATTTGTAATGAGCTTTAAACTCTTAAGAGCCATTTGGCAAACAATGTAGAAAACTATCATTGTTGGAATCTCTTTAGAGTCACATACGTTCCGACACTTCTCTTCTTCCCATGGCCTCAAATAAGTTTCTGATTTGATGTTGTTCTATTGAAGAATATCAACCGATGAAATGTGTCTTCTAATCACACAAAATTATGTATAGCTATATATCTTCACAGAATCGGTATTGCCAGTAAAGAGTAAGAATACCAATATCATTAAAAAGTTAATGTGACGCTTTCTGTCCGACCTTATATGGGCCATGTGTCTATCGTTTTGCTGAGGGTAATACAAGTACCAATTCTATGAGCTGTCACTGTAATTAAAAAAATGAATATTAATTTAAAATAATTTTCTGAATGAAATGACTGTTTAAACTAAAGGCGTTTGTTATTTGCTTATATTCCACAAGGTGTATTATATGTACACTGGAAACCATTATTTCGATATATGTATTTAATTAATGATAATTTAATTGGTGAAATTCAGCTAAAAAAAGAAGACTAGCTCCATTTTTCATAGTAGTAAAATAAGAAATAAATAATATTATTCTTTGAATCAAAAACAAATAATTCATAATTCTGATACTTCGCGAAAATGTGCAACTTTTTCGCGGTTGGGCCAGATCCCACTATGGGCCAAAGATCCCTGTTTTTGGCCATATTCAATAGGGTGGGTCGAAAATTGTGGTCATATTTTTTAAAAATTGAATCAATTTAATTAAGTTAGTCTAATTATTTTTAACACGTTTTGTGCACCTATGGTCACTAATTGCAAATGTAAAAGTTTGAAAATCAAATAAAGTGAATCCCAAATGGCGGATCAAACATTAGAAACATTAGAAATTAAAACGTTAATTTCTTGGCAGTATTTAATATCAGAATAGCATGGAATCGTATTTTTATGTGTTATGGTCTTAGAACTATGGCATATATTCAAATTTGAATTATAGCCAATTTAGTTAAAAAAACGTGTTCAAAATCCCCAAACTACCAAATAATGGGGGGTCCGTTTATGTGGAACCTAGTAAAGTCATGTTAGTAAAAGTCAATTTAATTTTTTTATAAAATTGTTAAAGGCAATTTTTAACGACTGTTTATATACCCTCAGCCTTAAGGCTTATGAGGATATATACAATTGGATAAGGGGAAAATGTGCCTCATGGAAATATTGGTTTTAGACCCCATTTTTCTTTGGACAAAATCCGTTTCAGACAACTTGTAGTCGAATTACAAATGTCCATCCGTCTGTCGGGCCGGCTGGTGCGCACGATAACTCTCGAAGGGAGCAACCGATTTCGTCCCAACTTTGCGCATCGTAATTTTTATTCCAAACTTAGTTTAAGTTCGAAGATTGGGAATTTCGGTCCACTCCTTCTGGCATATCACCCATCAATGGTCAAAATTGAGCTGAATGTCTGATTTGGTCCACTTCTTTAGGTACCTTCCCCACAAATGGCCAAAATTTCCAATAGTCACAAATACAATTTCATGCTAATAGAATTTCAGATTTGAACCAAACCGTGCACAACTTATTATCTTCACCAACAATAGATCAAGATGCGGATGAAAAATCTCATTATGTTGCTCTTCTTTAAATTGAAAACAAATTGTCAAATAAGAAATATGAGCAATGTACCTGTTTCCCCCCACCCCCTCATTGTAATTACCGAAATACCGACTACGGATTAACATTTTCAAAGTACACACTCACACGCGTTAATGTGTGTGTGTGGTTGTTTCCAAGGCAAAGTCTATATTATGTTCATATTTATTTTCAACTTACTCTACTGCAGATTAGGATACGATGGCGATGAATATACGACAACTTCACAGCCCCAACGGCAACGTGTGTCTGTCTGATTTCTTTTGAAGGCATTTGTACAAGAACAACACCACTCTGTACTTGAGAATTCGACATTTTATGCTAATTACAAATGAGCATAGAACGCCTGAGGCAAAGTCACGAGAGGCATTGTTTTCCAAAAAGCACGCCGTTCCTAGGCATCGACAGCTAACTAACGTGTGGATCTGTGGCAAGGTAGATGTGACGGCAGTACAATAGCAATTTGCCGAATTGTTCTATTGTGGTGCTGTTTGTGGAGCTGCTTAGCTCTGGCGTTCTGTTTTGATGCCTTCTTGACTTTGTTAAATGCGAAATGTTAATTAAGGTGTTAGAAAATTTGTATGTTTTACCAGCTACTGCTACAATTTCTGCGACTTAATTAGTGTGAATTTTCACAGCCTTTTTTGCTACATCATCCGAACATTTTTCCGAGCATCCTGTCTGCCAGACCACGGAAATACAACACTCACATTGCCCGATGTGCGTGTACGCCTAACTGCTGACTCTGCTAGTTCGCCTTTCCCAATGCCAGTGTGGGGGCCCAACGTGTAGTCGCATTATAAACATTTTATGGTTGGCAGGATACCAGGCTGAGTTTGTACTTCTCTTCGTTTCCAGAGTACACATACACATTTGAACTCATCAAACAGTGTTTATCTAGCTCTGCGTTTTTTTTTGTACGTTCATAATGTGAGTCGTGTACTCGCTCACTCACACACCGATTCAGGCATTCAGAGAACTGTGTTTTGTTTTTCTGATCAACATCTAAAAATATATTTTTTATTAATTAAAGAATAAGCCTTAAGCAACTGTAGATTCAAAACTGATGTGTTCTTTCAATTTATTCCAAGTGGATTTTGGACCGTACCACTAAAATTTTAGCAACCCTGCTTATGGGTGCGACCAACATGAATGAACATACAAATTTCGACGATTTTAAATAATGGAGTGGTCATTAAATAACCAAGAATATTCGTGCCCTTGAAATTGGTAAAACGGTTACACTTATAGACATTACATAATATTGAAAATATATTTTTAATGCTTTTCTAATGCAATATGAAATTTCACCCCTGTGTGTCATTTCTATACTACAAACATTTGTATCTAACGGAATTGCTAAGAGTCGATGATTGTTTTAAATGCCCAGCACGAGGACGTTTGTTTGCAAGTGACAAATGAGATACCTAGGCACGTCAATGACAAAACAGACCCGGCGGCTATAGTCTACTGCACCTTCGAGCGATGAGTTGTTCACGCTAACAAAAGGCCTGACCCTGACTCGTTGCAGTTCTAAACACCACCCATTCAGCAGGTGCACATTCTATTGCTGGCGGATGTGGCTGGTCTCATTAATTTGCATAACATTTTCAATATCAAAGATAAGGACTTTTGCGCCCGACCTTGTTCTGAACTCCGGCTGCCTCTCCCTCATATCTGGCGCAAAGGCTATTCATGATAGCACTGGAGTGGTTATTATGAATGCTTCACTCCAGTGAGTGTGGCACAAGTGGAGCGTATAGAAACACTCAACGTCACATAAAGAGGTGTATTGCTACAAGAATGGCTGTCTATTATATATGCCACACCAACGATGGGAGTAAAGATAGAAAATCATGTCCTTGTGACTCGTGCAACCATCAGCAGACCAGTGTCAATTGCTGTGCCTATAAATCTATGAACATCCACATGAAAGTCTCTCCTTAGTCTTCAACAATAACAATTTTCGTTATTCAAACTTGTCAATGACCAGGATAGGGTTAGGGGGTTCTTGTTAGAATGATCATGTAGCATAGATTCCTATGAATATCTTGTCAATTTTTCAACATAGCAGAAGATGCGGTTCATCCCTTTATACTGCCTGTCCGCATGTTGATGTTAAATTGTAAACAAAGTACTGGTCGCATTTATGATCCGAATGAAATGAAATTAGACACAGCTCATTTATTAGACCCAAGGACGAACGCTATTGAAATTGGGAATAATCGGTTCAGATTTATATATAGCTCCCATATATATTTTCGTCCGATTTAATGTAAATTGTGCACCAAAGTAGCTATATATCTTTCGATTTACACGAAATTTGGCAAGTATAGAATGATGCGTGTTAATTTTCGTGAAAATCGGTTCAGATTTAGATATAGCTCCCATATATATTTTCGTCCGATTTAATTTAAGTGGTGTACCAAAGTCCCTATATATCTTTCGACTTTCACGAAATTTGGCATAGCGTACTGTATTGAGTCTAGAATGTTGTGTGCTATGTTTCGTGAAAATCGGTTCAGAATTACATATAGCTCCCATATATAGTTTCGTCCGATTTGATGTAAATGGTGTACCAAAGCCCTAATGTTTGTCCGATTGATACGAAATTTTGCACAACGTATTAAATAGAGACGTGAATGACGTTATTGTGTTTTGTTGAAATTTGTGAGACATAGCTCCATATTTTATACAGCATACATTTTGCTTTAAATCGATTTATATAAATTTGTCCCATTGTACGCAAACGACTGACCGAACGAAATAAAATGTAGCATAGGTTGATGCTAGTCGGTTCACTTATAGATAAAATTCGCATATTTAAGTTCATTAAATTCCATGTCAATGTTCCTTCGAAAAGGCGACGTCTGTTAGGATACATATGTAGAATATACCCAACGTGGTGATGGGTATTATATAGTCGGCCCTGACCGACTATCCTTACTTTTTTTAAGTTTTCTAGTTTTAATGCGCAAACAGAAATTTCCACAAATCAATTATAGGATTGTTGTACTGAGTAATTTGATATACTTTGGGTAAATAATATGCTCAGCTTCGCAGTAATATCCATCCAAAGTTAAAAATTGTATGCGATTAAATTTCTAAAATAACCTATTTTTTCTATTTTTGCATCTGTC